CCAAGTGAACAAGTTAAAGGCATGAAAAGCAGACTGACTTGGGGAGTCAGAGAAGACAACCGCAAAAGAGCTGAGCTTAATAGAGAGAAGCAAAGCACCCCAGCTGAGTATAGCAATGCGGTGCACTGTTTAGTAGCCGAGGCTACCCAAGATTGTCGACCAGCTGTTGAACAGTTTGGCAGAGAAAAGAAAGGCAAAGTAGCTGCTTCTGATCTAAGCCAAGAGAGAGCGACAGTTACAGAACCAAGCTGTGGTGATAAGATGGGCACGTCCGCACCTAAGCCCGACCAAGGCGAAAGTTACAAAGCAGGTGACATTGGCGCAGCTGAATTAAATATTTCAAACACGTCTGGTATTGCTACAAAGACTTTGAAGGATTGTTTGGGAGCCATAGAACTGGCAAAGACTACTGCTACAAGGCCTGGGCGCACTAACTACCTGGAACAGCTGCCAGACTCTGGGAACACAGTCGTGGAATTAAAGGCGGGACTCGGACTGCCTGACCGGCTGTTTGATACCGGGGCTGTCATGATCCAGCGAGAGGCCATGACTGCGTCTCTGGAAACCCCCAAGGGAACAGGGAGACTGCCAGACAGCCCAGAGGAAAGCATTTCTGACACTGAGAGGTGGCCACTCAAGGCCGAGCAAGTGGAGGATACCCCTGGGGAGGAAACCAGGCAAAGGAGAGATGAACTAAGCCAGGAGTCTGGGCCTCAGGTAGAACAGCGCTCCATGCCAAGCCAGGCCGAGCATGATAGGATGGAGCTGGGATCAAGGGCTGCATTCATGCAGGAGGAGGGTGCTCTAGACAGCCTCCTTGGCCAACCCCCTGAGGATATAGAGATGAGACCTGTAGCATTAGCCGTAGGGAGCAATGAAGGCTCCCAGGAATTCGCAGAACTGATGATGGATGAGCTGGTGACAGAACCAGGTCTTGAAGAGTTTGAGCACCCAGAAAATTTAGCTCATGAAGGAATTGGACGTATAAGTGATATAGAAAAGTTAATTACACGCAAAGCCTTTGTAAAGTTTGCATTTGAAAGTAACTCGGACATTGAGAGACTATCAAACCTGATACTGAGCCTGGGACAATATAACTATGCTGGCAGAACGTACCCAAAAGTCCCATTATGGCTACGAGACCAGACTGAGAAAAACCTCAGATGCTTCAACTACCACATGCAAGGACATATTGCATATAACTGTCCTGAGACTGAAGAGCCAATACAATGTGATTTAAGACAAGTGTTTGATATTGTGGGTACACATGGTGACACCCGCACATACCCCATGGCAGAGGTAGAGTTTGCCACAGAGGTAGTAAAAGTTAAATGCCCTGTAGTACATATAGCTCAAACACAAGAGCGTATAGGTAAGGCCAGGTTTCTGAGTACCTTGGACCTGGTCATAAGGTATTGGCAGGTTCCCCTGACAGAGACAGCAAAGGGAAGGACAGCGTTTTCTACTCCCAAGGGGTTATGGCAACATAAAGTACTGCCATTCAGGTGGCATAGTGCACCAGCCCCCTTTCAGCATATGAATAAGATACTTTGGCCCCACGGAGAGAATGCCGCTGCCTACCTTGGTGATGTGGCGATTCACAGGGTGGACTTGGAAGCACACCTGATGAAGGTCCAGTTAGTTGTGAATAATGTAAGGGCTGTCGGTCTGACCGCTAACACTAAGTGTTATCTAGGATTTGAGGCAGCTAACTATTTGGGTTGTCCGCTTGGGTGGGGGTTCCTTAAACTACAAGGGAGCAAGGTAGCAGCCATCTACAATAGGCCACTTTCTGTAACTGAGGAGCAAGTCAGGGCTGGTACAGCCCCAGGTGACGTGAACATTCGTGGTTTGTGTTCTAAGGTCGCTCGACCCGATGGGTCTGAGCTGGGGGGAGGATATGTGATAAAGTGAAGGCAGATAGGCCTTTTAACCCCAGGGGGAGTATGTGTAGTTTGTGTTTTGCACAACACAACGCATTGTTTAGTTATGGGCCCCTGGGGTGGAGCATTTGGAGAGAAGGGTGGGCCAATGCTCCATTCCACAGTTTAGTGGTTTTCTGGGGAGACATAGATCCAGGCCAGGGTTTTTTGGACTGTCTCCAACCCACTGCACAGCTGCAGTTAATGAGCTGTTGCAGTGGGAATAAACTCCTCCCTGCTAGACAGGTAGAGAGGGATTGCTGGCTTCCTCCCAGGAAGCAGGTAGGAGAGAGGCTGATCTCTCCAGATAGAGTCAAAGAGACTAGGCACTGGGAGTGCGGAAAGGAAAGCAGTCAGGGCAAGGCTGGCTTGGAGCACTGGGAGTGCAGAAAGGAAAGCAGTCAGGGCAAAGCTGGCTTGGAGCACTGGGAGTGCAGAAAGGAAAGCAACAGGTTAGATAGCAGAGTGTTGCTATCTAAAAGGTTGGTGCAATATTGTTTAGTGTAACCCTGAGAGATAGGGAAACTTATGTCAGTTAGTGCTCAGACGAGCTAGGTTTTTTGTTTATAGGGTTTTCTGTTACATTTATGTTTTCATTTAACTGCTGTATCCTGTGTGAACTTACAAATAAAGTGCCTGGAGTATTTGCAATTACAAGGACTGTGCATGTTTTTGCCCTAGAGGACCGTGCTACCTGCAAACAAGGATCACAATATATATATATATATATATATATATATATATATATATATATATATATACGTATAATTACCATAATAAATAAAATAAATAAAATATTGAAACAAAATTTAATATAAATTATATATTCATATGTAATTTCATTCTAACTATTTTGTTATTAATATATATATATATATATATTGGTAACAAAATACACTTAGAATGACATTCTATAATATATATATATATATATATATATATATATATATATATATATATATATAAAAAATATGTTTACTGTTTTAAAACACTAATATTTGTGTTTAGTGAAGTCTCCCGAGAATAACAGTACACCCCATGTACAGGTTTTATGGTGTTTTGGAAAGTTAGAGAGTCACATATAAGGCTTGCATTTCATTTTTTTGACATTGAAATTTGCCAGATTGGTTATGTTGCCTTTGAGAACGTATAGTAGCCCAGGAATGAGAATTAGCCCCATGATGGCATACCATTTGCAAAAGTAGACAACCGAAGGTATTACAAGTGGGGTATGTCCAGTCTTTCTTAGTAGCCACTTAGTCACAAACACTGGCCAAATATTCATTTTTTGCTTTTTTCACACAAAAACAAACATGAACGCTTTTTATAGCTAAAATGTGAGGCAGAACTACAATTTTTTTTAAAAAATTTAAAATTTCTCAGTTTTTTTTATTTTATTCACAATAAATTAGGTTTCATATATAAATATTTGATATGAAATGAAAGCCATATTTCTCCTGAATAAAATGATGTATAATAAGTGTGGGTGCATTTAATATGAAAGAGGAGAATTATGGTTGAACAGACATATAGCGCAAATTCCAGTTTTTGTTTACGTTTTGTTTTGATCAGAACGTGCACTATTGACTCCGTCCTGAAGGAGTTAAGGACTGAGCCAAATGTACACGTTGTGAACAAAACAAAACGTAAACAAAAACTGGAATTTGCGCTACATGTCTGTTCAACCATAATTCTCCTCTTTCATATTATGTGCACCCACACTTATTATACATCATTTTATTCAGGAGAAATATGGCTTTCATTTCATATCAAATATTTATATATGAAACCTAATTTAATATGAATAAAATATTTAACAAAATGGGGAAAAAAATAAGAATTTCTTTAAAAAAAATTATTTCTACGTGACATTCGAACTGTGAATGTCTTAATACTGTTTGCTTTTACTGCAATAAAATACACATATTTGTATTCAGTGATGTCTCACGTGTAAAATAGTACTCCCTATGTACAGGTTTTATGGTGTTTTGGGAAGTTACAGGGTCAAATATAGCATGTTACATTTTTCATTTTTTTCACATTGAATTGGCCAGATTGGCTATGTTGCCTTTGAGACCGTATGGTAGCCCAGGAATGAGAATTACCCCCATGATGGCATACCATTTGCAAAAGTAGACAACCCAAGGAATTGCAAATGGGGTATGTCCAGTCTTTTTTAGTAGCCACTTGGTCACAAACACTGGTCAAAGTTAGTGTTAATATTTGTTTGTGTGTGAAAAATGAAAAAAACTAATTTGAATGCCAATTTTGGCCAGTGTTTAGTGGCTACTAAAAAAGACTGGACAGACCCCATTTTCAATACCTTGGGTTGTCTACTTTTGAAAATGGTATGCCATCATGGGGGTAATTTTCATTCCTGGGCTACTGTACGGTCTCAAAGGCAACATAACCAACATGGTGAATTTCAATGTGAAAAAACTGAAACGCAAGCCTTATATTTGACTCTGTAACTTTTGAAAACACCATAAAACCTGTACATGAGGGGTACTGTTATACTCGGCTTTGCTGAAAACAAATATTATTGTTTCAAAACAGTAAAACGCATCACAACAATTATATTGTCCGTGTAAGTGCCATTTGGGTGTGAAAAATGCAAAATATTTCACTTTCACTGACAATATTGTCGTTGGAATACATTTTACTGGTTTGAAACACTAATATTTGTGTTCAGCAACGTATACCCATGTACAGGTTTTATGGTGTCTTGGAAAGTTACAGGGTTAAATATAGTGCTAAATTAAAGCTGGACTTTTGGCCTGGGTTGTCAGGCAGGTCCTGCTAATTGTAATTAATTAAATTACCTAATTATCAAATTGTCTTACATAAATATATACATAGAATTATTATATATATATATATATATGTGTGTGTATATATATATGTGTGTGTGTGTGTGTGTATATATATATATATATATATATATATATATATATATATATATATATATATATATATATATATATATATACAGATATAGGGAACAAGAGGCAAGCACTCACGGTCTTTTAGTTTCTTTAAAACGATTTTCCTTTTATTTCATTGGTTAAAACTTGATCGATGTTTCAGCCACACTACATGGCTTTCATCAGGATCTCCACAGCTCTCCAGGATCTGGAGCTGTGGAGATCCTGATGAAAGCCATGTAGTGTGGCTGAAACGTCGATCAAGTTTATATCATGGCATTGGCTTGATAGCACCAGGCATAAAAGTTACATTGAAGTGTGTGTGCAAGGAGACAATAGGACTTTTATTTATATATATATATATATATATATATTAGGCATGTGCATGGGGAAAATTTGCGGTTCGGCTTTTAGAAATTCGGCAACTTCGGAAATTCGGCACTTCGGAATTTCGGAACTTCGGCATTTCGGGACTTCTCTTTCTGCCGCTTGGTAGATAACTCCCTAATTCCCACGGTATTAGGGAGTTATCTACCAAAAGGCTGAAAGACCTAAATTGGTCGTTAAGACATATTTACTAATACTAAGTGAAAATTACTTAGTATTAGTAAATTTTGTCCCTACTCGCTATACTACGAGTAGGGGCATGTCTAGTAAACAGTGAGCAGCCTGTGACTGCTCACTGTTTTAAAAAAAAAATAGTGCCCCCCTGGCCCCCACCGCTGAGCGGCAGGTAGGGGACCCTAAAGTAAAATGATGGGGGGGGACCTATTGTCCTCCCCCCTGGCCCCCACCCCTGAGCGGCGGGTGGGGGCCCTAAATACTAATAAGGGGGGGACCTAATGTCCTCCTCCGTGGCCCCCACCCCTGAGCGGTGGGAGGGGGCCCTAAACAAGAATAAGGGGGGGGACCTAATGTCCTCCCCCCTGGCCCCCACCCCTGAGTGGTGGGTGGGGGCCCTAAACTAGAATAAGGGGGGAGACCTTATGCCCTGGCCCCCACCCCTGAACGGTGGGTGGGGGCCCTAAACAAGAATAAGGGGGGAGACCTAATGTCCTCCCCCCTGGCCCCCACCCCTCAGCGGCGGGTGGGGGCCCTAAATACTAATAAGGGGGGGGACCTAATGTCCTCCCCCCTGGCCCCCACCCCTGAGCGGCGGGTGGGGGCCCTAAATTGTAATAAGGGGGGGACCTAGTGTCCTCCCCCCTGGCCCTCACCGGCGGGTGGGGGCCCTAAATACTAATAAGGGGGGACCTAAGGCCTCCCCCCTGGCCCCCACCCCTGAGCGGAGGGTGGGGGCCCTAAAAACAATGTGTGTCCCCCCCTGGTGACTAGGAGACCCCAAACCCCTAGTCACCTCTCCCTCCAATAAAAATTATCCCCCTACCTACCCCCCTCACCCTAAAAATAATGAGGGGGGGACCTTTAACTAAGTACCGTATATACTCGAGTATAAGTCGAGTTTTTCAGCACATTTTTTGTGCTGAAAAACCCCAACTCGACTTATACTCGAGTCAATGTCTGTATTATGGCAATTTACATTGCCATAATACAGACTGGGGGCTGGCAGAGCTGTAACTTACCTCTCCTGCAGCTCCCTTCTCCTCCACGCCGGTCCGTTCAGCACCTCTGTCAGCTCCCAGTGTAAGTCTCGCGGGAGCCGTGGGGTCATAGTGCGGCTCTCGCGAGACTTACAGTGTGAGCTGACAGGGGAGCTGACCGGACCGGCGCAGGAGAGGTGCTTCCTGCCAGCCCCCCTCCATTCAACTGCCAATGCCACTGGACCATCAGGGAGTGAGAGCCCCCCTCCTCAGACAGCTAACAAGCAGGGAGGGGGGGATGAAAAAATAAATAAATATAATAATAAAATAATATTAATAATAAAATAATAAAAAAAAATATTAATAAAACAAAACAATTATTAAAATAATGAAAAAAAAATTATAATAAAAATGCCCACCCCCCACCAAGGCTCGGCAACACACACACACACACACACACTGCATTCATACACACACACACACACTGCACTCATACACACACACACTGCACTCATACACACACTGCATTCATACACACACTGCATTCATTATATACACACACTGTAAATAAATATTCAATTAATATAATTTTTTTAGGATCTAATTTTATTTAGAAATTTACCAGTAGCTGCATTTCCCACCCTAGTCTTATACTCGAGTCAATAAGTTTTCCCAGTTTTTTGGGGTAAAATTAGGGGCCTCGGCTTATATTCGGGTCGGCTTATACTCGAGTATATACAGTACCTGTAAAAAAGAAAAAAATTACCATTCGATGTTTTCTTTCTTCTAAAATCTTATTTTTTCAGCCCCAAAAAAGGCCAAAAAAAAAACCATATTAACCGACGCAATTATAAAAAAAAAAAAAAAAAAATAAGCGCAAAAAAATTTAATCCTTCTTCACCCATGGAGGGCTCTGTGCAGACTGAGCTCTGCAGGGCGGGACAAGGCTTATAAAGCCTGCCCCGCCCTGCAATTAGGCTCAGAGCACTCTGATTGGTGGGTTTAAGCCATCCAATCAGAGTGCTCTGACAGGTAAATGAAGAGACTGACAGGTAAGTCTCTACACTTACCTGTCACAGCACTCTGATTGGTTGGTTTGAAATCCACCAATCAGAGTGCTCTGTGTCATTTTACACAGCGTGGGAAAGTTCTTTGGAGTTTTCCCACGTTGTGTAATTTGACTCATAACTCTCTGATTGGTTACTTAATTGGTTACTATTCAATCTATAACATTGAAAAAAGTTTTTTGTTTTTAAATGCAAGCTATTGTGACACCAGATATGAGTGGAACTGTGAACTGGCAGAGTACACGCTGTAGGCCTGACACACCCGCTTGAAGACAACTGCTATTCAATCTATAACAGTGAAAAAAGTTTTTTTGTTTTTAAATGCAAGCTATTGTGACACTAGATATGAGTGGCAATGTGCACTGGCAAAGGTTGGCAGAGTACACGTTGTAGGCCTGACACACCCACTTGAAGACAACTAACTGCTATTCAATCTATAACAGTGAAAAAAGTTTTTTTGTTTTTAAATGCACGCTATTGTGACACAAGATATGAGTGGCACTTTGAACTGGCAAAGGTTGGCAGAGTACACGTTGTAGGCCTGACACACCCGCTTGAAGACAACTAACTGCTATTCAATCTATAACAGTGAAAAAAGTTTTTTGTTTTTAAATGCAAGCTATTGTGACACCAGATATGAGTGGCACTGTGAACTGGCAGAGTACACGCTGTAAGCCTGACACACCCGCTTGAAGACAACTAACTGCTATTCAATCTATAACAGTGAAAAAAGTTTTTTTGTTTTTAAATGCAAGCTTTTGTGACACAAGATATGAGTGGCACTGTGAACTGGCAGAGTACACGCTGTAGGCCTGACACACCCGCTTGAAGACAACTAACTGCTATTCAATCTATAACAGTGAAAAAAGGTTTTTGTTTTTAAATGCACGCTATTGTGACACCAGATATGAGTGGCAATATGCACTGGCAAAGGTTGGCAGAGTACACGTTGTAGGCCTGACACACCCGCTTGAAGACAACTGCTATTCAATCTATAACAGTGAAAAAAGTTTTTGGGTGTTTAAATGCACGCTATTGTGACACCAGATATGAGTGGCACTTTGAACTGGCAAAGGTTGGCAGAGTACACGTTGTAGGCCTGACACACCCGCTTGAAGACAACTAACTGCTATTCAATCTTAAACAATGAAAAAAGTTTTGGGGTTTTTAAATGCACGCTATTGTGACACTCAGATATGAGTGGCAAGGTGCACTGGCAAAGGTTGGCAGAGTACACGTTGTAGGCCTGACACATCCGTTTGAAGACAACTAACTGCTATTCAATCTATAACAGTGAAAAAAATGTTTTGGTTTTTAAATGCACGCTATTGTGACACCAGATATGAGTGGCACTGTGAACTGGCAAAGGTTGGCAGAGTACACGTTGTAGGCCTGACACACCCGCTTGAAGACAACTGCTATTCAATCTATAACAGTGAAAAAAGTTTTTGGGTGTTTAAATGCACGCTATTGTGACACCAGATATGAGTGGCACTTTGAACTGGCAAAGGTTGGCAGAGTACACGTTGTAGGCCTGACACACCCGCTTGAAGACAACTAACTGCTATTCAATCTTAAACAATGAAAAAAGTTTTGGGGTTTTTAAATGCACGCTATTGTGACACTCAGATATGAGTGGCAAGGTGCACTGGCAAAGGTTGGCAGAGTACACGTTGTAGGCCTGACACATCCGTTTGAAGACAACTAACTGCTATTCAATCTATAACAGTGAAAAAAATGTTTTGGTTTTTAAATGCACGCTATTGTGACACCAGATATGAGTGGCACTGTGAACTGGCAAAGGTTGGCAGAGTACAAGTTGTAGGCCTGACACACCCGCTTGAAGACAACTAACTGCTATTCAATCTATTACAGTGAAAAATTTTTTTAAATGCAAGCTATTGTGACACCAGTGAGTGAGTGGTGGCACTGGGCAAGTGGGCACAGTATCCACTGTGAGCCTGACACAGAAGCTGGCAGGCAGGCAGGCAACTGCAATTACATTACACAGAAAAAAAAAAAGCAGACTGATGTTCTAGCCCTAAAAAGGGCTATTTGGGGTGCTGTCCTTACAGCAGAGATCAGATGAGTCCTTCAGCACTGAATACACTAGCCTAGCTATCCATTTCCCTATCAAATCAGCAGCAGCTACACTTTCCCTCTTCTCACTAAGCATGCAGCTTGAGAATGAATCTAAAATGGATGCTGTCCAGTAGGTGGGAGGGTCTGCTAGGGAGGGTGTTCTGCTGATTGGCTGGAATGTGTCTGCTGACTGTGAGGTACAGGGTCAAAGTTTACTCAATGATGACGAATAGGGGGCGGATCGAACCGTGCATATGTTTGCCCGCCGTGGCGAACGCGAACTATTCGCTGGCGAACTGTTCGGTACTGTGGCAAACATAGCCACTTGGACACTATAACGAGACTGTGCCTTTAAGGGTTGCCTATTTGGTTGGGAGATATGGGCTTAACTATGTTGAATGTATACGGGTTGTATTTACATGTATTTGTTGTATTGGCTATCTGCCGAATGCAGATAGCTGTTTGTATTGGATTTTTCTTTCGTTTGACGAACGGCACTTTTGCGGGCCGTTCGTGAACCGAAAACACCCCCATGTAATAGCCCACACACTTAGAAGGCTCTCCTAGGTG